GAGAGAGAGAGAGAGAGAGAGAGAGAGAGAGAGAGAGCCATTTGGAAAGGGCTTCCTGGAAGGTACGTGCAAGCTCACAGATGCTGCCAGCTGGCTGACTGGAATGGCCCTCATCCCATATAACAGGTCAGGATGGAGCTTGGAACCCCTGAGGTTTGGCAGACCTTAGGAAATGACAGCTACGCTTAGAAGCAAGAGCATCCAGAGGAAGATACACTCAAGAGCAAGTGAAACTGAGATCCCGAATAGGTTCTGGGGTCTGTTGGGGCAGTAGGAGCAGAAACTCCAAGAGTTGGAGGTTGTGGGAAGATGGGTGAGGACCAGAGTTAGGGTAGCAGCTTCATGGGAATGGAGTGGGAAGCCAGGCCCAGCTAGGAACAGAGGACAGACATCATGAAGTCAGTTCATGACCTCATCCATGGCTTGGTTCTCTGGGTTCTAACAACTGCCCTGAAAAATGTGAATCACTCAGAGGATTTCTGAGAACTGAGATCATTCTTGTAAAACAATTAGCACAAAGTGTAGCTCAGTAAAAGCTGACTGAGCAACAGCTGAGGGTACGGAAGAACAAGTGAGGAAGCCCTTGTGTTAGGAACTGAGGCTGCAGCCTGGGGCCCATCTGTCTGGGGAATCTGATGGAGGACAGGAATGCCTGTGTGGGAGAATGAAGGTGCAAGCAACTAGCTGCTCCCTCATCTGTTTTTCCAGAAATTCATTACTCAACACACGGGCCCCTTTCATACCTGGATAGGTCTCACGAACAGCGAAGGCTCCTGGAAATGGGTGGATGGAACTGCATACAGGCACAGCTACATGTAAGAGACGTACCTCCAGTGCCCTGTCAGTTTCCCCTGGGAACAGCCACCTGGCCCTTCACCCCAACACACTCTGACACAGCCCTCAGGGGCTACCCTCCTCAATCCCTCCTTCCCGACTCTCCACTTCCAAGGCTTAGTTTCCAAGGCCTGAGGGGTGGGGATACCCGGATGTGGCAGGTCAGCCTAGAGTTTTCGGTTTGCTTTTTTAGGAACTGGGCTTTCTCCCGGCCAGAGAACTGGGGCCGAGGCCGCGAAGTGGGTGGAGGTGAAGACTGTGCTGAAATCTTGTCGAATGGTTATTGGAATGGCAATAACTGCCAGCAGGTGAACCGCTGGGTGTGTGAGATGCCGAGGGATATCACTGGGTAGGAGCCCTGCTCCAGCGGGACTCTGTGCCCCACCCCTCTGCCACTCAGCCTCTCTACTGAGGATTTTTGTGAAGGAAGGGCAGAACAGAGTCCTGGACGTGGGGAGGGGGTCAGGAAAAATAGAAAGGGAGGGTTTAATTGTCTTAGACCCTGGGAAGCCTGAGGTTCTGCCTCTTGCAATTCATGTAACTAGTGTCATTTTCATCCTCTTCAGAGGAGTAGGAAAAGAAGGAACAAACTCTTGAAACGTGTGGTCTGGTTCTTTGGAGCTGGGATATATAGGGTGCAAAGAAATGGGAGGGAGGAGGGTCTGGAAGGGACAAAATATAATTAATTCCAGGCAGCTGCTCCTTGACACCTGATCCCCCAGGGATTCGGGTCAGGGAGGGGAGGAAAGAAGCCTGGAGTACACTCAGTGGCTGAGACTTGTAAGAGCTGGAGGAGGCTGCTTCTGAACCCCAAACAGATCTTTTTAAATAATTTTTTTATTTAAAGTATTTTATGTGATTTAATACTTATTAAGTCATTTTAATAAGGCTGTCTTCAAGGTAGCCCTTTTGAAAAGAACATCAGGGATTGAACTCACGCCCTTGTGCTTGCCAGGGAAGCACTTATTCTATTGACCCATCTCCCCGGCCCCTATCACTTTTTTTTTTTTTTTTAAACTTGCCTTTTTTTTTGCGGAACCAGGGATTGAACTCAGGCCCTTGCACTTGCCAGCCAAGTGCTTATTCTACTGAGCTATATCCCTGGCCCCTATCACTTTTTTTTTTTTTTTTAAACTTGCCTTTTTTTTTGCGGAACCAGGGATTGAACTCAGGCCCTTGCGCTTGCCAGGGAAGCCTATATTCCACTGAGCCATCTCCCCGGCCAGAACATCAGTTCTTAATCTAGTCATCCCATCTGCCCACAATTCTTCTATCTCCACTTGAATTAAGGACAAGACAGATGTGGTCTTATCCAATTTCTTCTGGCAATTTACATTTTTGGAGCATTTATGGTAGATGGATCTGCCTTGCTTTGACACCCAACGTTAAAAAAAAATACTGCATAAAAAATCATGTACTAAAATGAATAACTATAGACATAAAACAGTGTATTAATAGAAATACCAGGTTTAACATGCACAAAGCCAAAAAAACCCAGTGATGCCAGATACCAAATTTCTATCGCACTCTTTTGAACACATCAGCCGGAATAAACTGTTGAATGCGTATGCTATACAGATTTAGACCTGTCACCAGCACTGGTCACCAGCAACTTCCATGGGGGTCATGTCCCCTCTCACTATCATTTAGGAACTGACCTTAAAAGGATCTTTAAGGTTTTTTTTTTTTCAGTACTAGGACTGAAACACAGGGCCTCCCATGTGATATACAAGGGTTCTACCATTGAGCTACGTTCTTCACTCCTTCAATTTTTTTTAAAATGTATTGGTACAGGGTCTCACTATGCAGCTTGGATTCATAGTGATTCTCCTGTTTTGAGCCTCCCCAGCACTGGGATTATAGGTGTGCACCACTGAGGCTGGACTCAGTGGCTGGTTCAGTGTGCCCAGGGGCAGGGCCGTTGTGGCACATGGTGCTGGGGATCGAACCTTGGTCCCTGTGCTTGCCTAAGCAGGCGCTAGTCTGCTGAGCTATCTTGCCAGCCCCACTCCTTCAAATTTTAAATTGCAAAATAATACATACTATTAATAAAAACGTTAAACACATGCCCGCTCAGGCAGGCCTACGTGCACCCCCACCTGTCCCCATGTAACACTTAATCATTCTGTCATGTAGATGTGAGATTTTCCATTTCTGTCTAAAAAATTTTTATTTAATTCTTAATTTGGAGTTTGTATAAATTATGGCTGATATGTGTGTTTTTGTTTTTTACCAGACTGACCTCAAACTTGTAGTGTGTCTGCCTCAGCCTCCCCAGTGTTCATCCATTCTTTCTCTTTCCTTCCCCCTTCCTGTTTTCCATCCTCCTTCCCTCCTCTCCCTTGTTCTTTCTCTTTCTCTTCTCCTTTTCCTTCTTTTCTTTTCCTCTTCCTCTTCCTCATCTGTTTCCTCTTCCTTCTTCTCCCCTGTTTTTCTCC